ACTTTGGGTACGTGGGAAGTGATTAGCATCACAATGGGTTCGTCTCGTTTGATAGAGACTTAGTGTAATGTTATATGCTTACATGATAACTTGTTTATGTGACCATGTGGGTATGGAATGTAGTTCCTAGGATGTTGATTGGACCCTTGAGTTTCTAGTAGTCTTGTTGGAAAGGCACTTGATCAATGCTGCTTCCAACCGGAACTATAGTAACGCTTCGGGACTATCATCATCCAGGAATGAAATTCGTAGGTGCTTATGTGATTATGTGCTTACGTGGAATGAATTATTGTTGTCCAATGCTTTAGGACGCGAGTGTTTAGTTTCGGCACATTTATTAATGTGCTAACGTCTTTGTTTTCCTTTATTAGGATGTCAGGACGAGGACGCGGTAGGTGTGGTAGGCCGGGTAGGCAGGAGGTGCCTGTGCCTGAGGAGATTCCAGCAGTTCAGGAGGGAATTGGCCAGGCCAATGTGGCCGAGCCAGTAGGCCAGCAGGCTATAGGCGCTCTAGCCCGAGAAATAGCAGGGGCATTCAGGGAGTCAGCAGGCATTCTCAGAGTTGAGAATCAAGCTCAGGTAGTTGTTGCGGATGCTGGACCTGCCTTTCTGAAGAGGGAGTTCTTCCGGTCTAACCCGGATGAATTTGTGGGTGATCTTAAAGAGCCGCTTAAGGCAGATGAATGGCTCGAACAGACAACGAAGACATTTGAGATGCTTGGCATCGAAGACGAGGGGTTGAAAGTGACCTTGGCATCTTTCCAGTTGAAGGGGGATGCGGGTCAGTGGTGGAAGTTCACTAAGGGTCGCATAGGAGGTACATGGGAGGCTTTTGTGAATGCTTTCCAGGAGAGGTTCTTATCTCCAGCAGTTAGGGAGAAGCTGAGAGACCAGTTCTACCAGCTTAAGCAGCCGAGTTCTTCAGTGGCCGAATTTGAGGCTGCATTTACTAGCTTGTCCAGGTTTGCACCTGAGTTGGTGGCGTCTGAGGAACGCCGTTGTATCGATTTTGAGAAGAAGTTGAGGCGTGGTCTCAAGCTGCGAGTTGGGGGAACTATGATTCGGGATTATGGGCGTATGGTTGATGCTGCAACCCACATGGAAATCATGATGCAGGAGGAAGAGGAAGGACAGAAGGGCTCCAAGAGGAGTCAGGATGGTCAGAGTGACGGTAGGAGACAGAAGGGTTTTAATCCTCAGCAGTCTCAGGGTAGCTTTTCTAGATCGACTTTTCCTGTGCCGAGTGCTAGTTCGGGGAAAGGCAGTCAGGGAGACATTACCTGTTTCAAGTGTGGCCAGCTGGGCCACAAGTCTCCAGTTTGTCCTCAGAGGGAAGGAGTGCAGAGAGCAGCATCATCTACGGCTCGATCTCAGAGCCAGAGTCAGGGGAGAGGCCAGCCACTCTCGTGTTATCAATGTGGTCAGCCAGGGCATATGAAGAGGTATTGCCCGCAGTTGGGAGGCCGATTCAGGGTCAGCAGCCAGCTCAGTTGGGTCAGGCCTCAAAGGCCAATCAGGGGGCTTCATCGTCTCAGTCGGTGCAGCAATCTTATGCTCCTAGGGTTGAGCAGGTTGATCAGAGGTCGTCTGGGCGCGTGTACGCTGTTACCGCGTAGGATCTTGTACCGACTCCATCAGTTGTGAGAGGTACCTTCTTGTTTTGCAACTCGGTTGCTAATGTTTTGATTGATACGGGTGCATCTCATTCCTTTGTGTCTGCTGCATTTGCATCTGTTTTGGAATTGGAGTTAGCACAGTTAGCATCTCCTATTTGTGTAGTGTCACCTCTTGGGGGTGAATTGATCTTGAAACAAGGTGTTAGGGGTTGTGATATAGAGGTCGACTATCATAGACTTCTGTTTCCTTTTGTAGTTATGCCCATGAAGGGCTTCGATGTTATTTTGGGTATGGACTGGTTATCATCATACTGGGCAGTTATTGATTGCTACCGCCAGAGGGTCACTTGTTGTACCGTGAGCGGGGAGTGTTTTCATTTTCTGGGGGACCGGGTTGGTAGGAAGAAAATTAAAGAGAATTCAAATTTATCCTTTTGGACGTGGGAATTGAACACGTTGTTGGTTAAGAAAACATTAAATGAGTTTATTAAGTTAAACTAAACTTGTTTAGTAAATTCTCTTTTTTGGAGGCTAACCAAGATTAGTTTGAGTTAAACTTGGCCACTTAAGCTAATAAACAATTAGTTGACTAACCAAATTAGTTCCTAGAACAAAAGAGAGATGGATGGAGAAGGACGAAGAGAGTTAGAGAGAAACTTTCTTCTTGAGAGTTAGGAGAGAAGGTTAGAGAAAAGAAAGGGAAATAGGATGATAATTAACGCAAATTCAAATTAATGCTTTTTGACAAGAGAATTGAACAGCTAGGCGATTTGGAAAACATTAAATGAGTTGCTGATGCTAAACTTATATTGTTAAGTTACAATTACTGAGTAACTTGTCTTTCTTAGAGGCTAAGCAAAATTAGTTTGAGCTGAACTTGGCCAGTTAATCTGATGAAACTATTAGTCGGCAAAAGCTAATTAGTTCCTATAACAAAAGAGAGAAGCACGGAGAAGGACAAAGAGAGTGAGAAAAAAACTTTCTTCTTCAGTTGTAAAAGAGAAATTTAGAGAGAAAGAAATGTAAGGGGAACAGGATGAAAATTAAATCAAATTGAAATAGATCATTTTGGACTTGAGAATTGAACACTGAGCTGATTTAAGAAACATTAAATGAGTTGTTTAAGTAATCCTAATATCCTCAAGCTACAATTACTCAATAAATTCTCTTTCAAGGAGGCCAAGAAAAATTAGTTTGAGTTAAGTTTGCCCCCTTAAGCTAATGAAGCTATTAGCTGCCCAACCTAATTAGTTCGAGAACGAAAGAGAGAAGGGGGGAGAAGGACCAAGACCATTCAAGAGAAACATTCTTGTTGACAGCTAGAACAGAAAGTTAGATAAAAGAAAAAGAAATAGGATTAAATTTAAAACGAATTCAAATCATCCGTTTGGACTTGAGAATTGAACACTTAGGTGATTTACAAAACCTTAAATGAGGTGCTTAAGTTAAACCAATACCGTTAAGCTACAATTACTCAGTAGATTCTCTTTGTTGGAGGCCAAGCAAGATTAGTTTGAGTTGAACATGGCAACTTAAGCCAATGAACCTATTCACCCAAAAAAATAAAAAAGCCAATGAAACTATTAGTTGCCTAAGGTAATTATTTCCTAGAACTAAGCAGAGAAGGTTGGAGAAGGATGAAGAGAGTTAGAGAAAAACTTTCTTCTTGAGAATTTTTTTTTTTTTTTTGGGTGAATAAGACATAAATAAAACAGCAAAATATACAAAGATACAAGGGGCATGCCCCAGGACCTACAGAGCTATACAAAGAGGGCAAAAGCCACGAAGAACAAGACAAAAGGAACCATACACACAATGTTCAAAACCTATCTCGAAGAGAAATAGCAGATGAACACAAGCGAAGGAACTAAAGAAAGACAAATCAAACTAAGATGGAACAGCCATACATCAACAAAATAGAGGCTGCCAAAATTCAAAACAGCCAACAAAGCCAGTAAACCAGCAGAACAGACCGAACGGATATCAGCCAAAGGCCTAGGATGAGCAGAGAAATTATCTGCTGTATGTACCCAACATCTAAAAATATGGTAAACCCAACTATATTCTCTAGTACATCCCACTAGAGTAGGCCAAACTGAGTATGTTTTAAATAGCTACAAACAGTAAATTAAAGACAGCTTTTGATCATTCAGCAATTTTGGAAGGCGCATATAGCAGCCATACCCATTGATTTGAAGTTTCCCACGACAGCTTTTAGATGACTAATCCCGAGAGTTTCCACTGCAGCTTTAAATGACAAATCCCGAAATTGCACAGATTGAGAATTCGAGTTAACCATAGTAGAACGACCCATAGATTTGGAGGTTCCCACGACAGCTTTTAGATAACAGGCCCCGAGATTTTCCACTGCATTTTGCGTATGCAGGTTAAACATAGTAGAATGACCTGCCAATGAGTAACAGAAGATATAAACCATGAGAATTAAGTAACCAAGGCAGAAAATAGATTCTCTCAATTTTGATCTCACATCACTCGACCCACAATATTGAATCTCACCACACTCGGATAAAGCTTCCTTAATCTGCAATAAAGATACAATATATATAGTGGTTAGCTTGTAAAACATATAGATTCTAAGTTCACTCAACCCACAGATTTCGAGGAACTAGTGACTATATGTCTCACCACACTCGACCCACAAATAATATTCATCTTCAAGTGAGCACACCTACACACTTAACAGCTAATTAGATAAACACTCCATGTTAGACTCACCTCCACTCAACCCACAATATACTGCACTCACATCACTCCGTGGTCCTCCCACCATTGTAAGGATGGGGCTTCAGAATGGATCTAGGGAGGTTCCATTGATCAAGGAACCAATCATCACCTGTTGCAGTAGGAATGATGCTAACAGATAACATTCTATTTCTTACCATAAGTACAATAGATTTGATGATAACCTCTACAGGTTTATATTCTTTGTTAAAAACTCTATTGTTTCTTTCAAGCCAAATATGATATACAGTTGTGAGAAAAGAAAGTCTGGTGATGATGGATTTCATGGACTTACCTTTACTCTCTCTGTCGACAATAATAACAGTCTCAGGCCAAGAGACCTGCTGCCATTGCACATTGCACTTACCTTGCATGACATGCCAAATTCTGGATGTGAAACTACACTCGAAGAAGAGGTGTGGATGGCTTTCAGTTAAATCAAGACAAAATGGGCATGTAGGACTAGAAGGGATTCCAAATAATTGGAGTCTGTCACTAGTATTCAGCCTGCCATAGATAGCCAACCAAACAATGAAGCTAGCTTTGGGGATAGTAGCATGGCCCCAGACAAGATTATACCAAGGCACCGAATCCTGCTTGTATCTCCACAGATCCCAAGCAGACTTAATTGTGAAAGCACCATCAGGGTTGAGTGACCAAATAGTAGTACGGAAGGCAATTGTTGGGAATTTGGGATGTTAATTCCCTGAGATCCCAGGAGTTGGGAAAAGGCCAATGCCAAGAGCTCCCAACAATAATTTTACTGACTTTGGACTCCCCATTTAAGCCAGAGTCATACATGATTCTGTCACCATATCTTTCCCAGATAGGGCCAAGGTGGTGCCAATTGTCATACCACAAAAAGGTGTTCTGGCCATCACCAATCCTATGTTTAATAAGAGGGTGAATTGCTGGCCTGAGAGAAAGGATTTTCCTCCAAACCCAAGAAGGGTCATTAGGAGTTTTAATTCTCCAGAAGCATTTACCCTTTATGAGATAGATTTTGACCCACTGGCACCACATAGACTTTTCCCCTCCAGAGAACAAAAACCATACATGTTTAGCAATGGCAGCCTTGTTCCAAACCTCCATAGATTTGAACCCCAGGCCACCCTCTTTCTTAGGGACACAGACTTTATCCCAAGCAATCTTCGCACTATGCTTTCTAAGATCAGTACCAGACCATAGGAAAGCTCTAAGGAGGCTCTCAATCTCCTTAATAACTTTCTTAGGTAAGATGAATAGAGATGACCAATAAACTTGCATAGAGAATAAGATGGTTTGGATGAGCTGGGCCCTACCCGCATAAGATAAAAGTTTATTGGTCCAGCTACTAATCCTCTTAGTGATCCTCTCAACCAGAAGTTTACAGTCAGTGGCTTTCAACTTAGTGGTAATGAGAGGCACTCCAAGGTATTTGACGGGGAGCATACCCTCAGAGAAAGTAGCAATATGAAGGATACTGGCCCTTAACTCCTCAGAGCAGCCAGAGAAATAGATATTACTCTTGCTAGGATTCGGGGTGAGGCCAGAAAGAGCACTAAACTCATTCAATCCTTCCATAATCAAACGAACAGTGTTAGTATCACCCTTACTAAAAATCATAAGGTCATCAGCAAAGCAAAGGTTAACAATTTTGGTTTTCTCACATCTCCAATGAAATTTGAATAGAGGATTCTTAGACTTTTCCTCCATAATTCTAGCCAAAATCTCCATAGCTAAGACGAACAGATAAGGAGACAGAGGATCTCCTTGCCTTAGTCCTCTAGCCCCTTTGAAATAGCCATGAAGGCTACCATTAATACATATGGAAAAGGATGGACTAGTTATGCAAGCTTTGATCCAGGTGATCATAGTTTGAGGAAAGCCCATAGTAGTAAGAATGTCAATGATAAACTCCCATTTGACAGTGTCATAGGCTTTCATTATATCAACTTTCATGGTACATTTAGGAACAGGGGAGTTCCTATGATAGCCTCTCATGATTTCCTGAGATAAGAAAATATTATCCGAAATTCTCCTACCTTGCACGAAGGCAGATTGAACAGGATCAATGAGGTTAGGAAGAACCTCTTTAATTCTGTTAGCAATTATTTTAGCAATACATTTGTAAATTGTATTACAGCAGGAGATTGGCCTATAGTCACCAACTTTTACCGGATTAGGAACTTTCGGAATGAGCACAATTGTAGTGTTGTTGATTTCAGACAGAAGTTTCCCAGATTCAAAGAAGGCTCTTATGACCTGGGTTATATCTTTACCAACAATACTCCAAGTGCTTTTAAAGAAACCAGCTGAATAACCATCAGGGCCAGGGACCTTATTGGTTTTCAAGGACCAAAAAACATCCTTGATTTCCTTATCAGAAACAGGACTGGCCATCTTAATAGCTTGGTCGTGAGTGACCCTAGCTTTAATCAGATCATGAACTCTCGTAGTGCCTCTATGATTGTTCTGTGAAGGAGTGCCAAAGAGTTTAGAAAAATAATCAATAAAAGCACCTTTTTTAGGTCTGTGAAGAGTAACATCAATAGAGGGAAAATTCTCAATGTTGAGATGGAGGGTGGGAGGGTTTCAACTAATCCCGAGGAAACCCAAGGTGCTTTTATTGATGTTACTCTTCACAGACCTAAAGAAGAACCTGCTATTCTTATCACCCAGACCAAGCCATTGGACTCTAGATTTTTGATGAGCCAATTTCTCCTCCACAGCACTAAGATCCACATATTTTTTAAACAAGTTCCTCTCAAGGAGCTGAAAAGAGCTATTGCAAGGATCTTTGTCAAGTTTCCATTGGATGGAATCAAGCTCAGCTTTAGAGGCCAAAACTCTAGTAGAAATGTCACTAAACTCTTTCTTGTTTAAAGATTTAAGGATAGGTTTAAGGCTGCGGAGTTTCTGACAGATTCTAAACATAGGGACACCTCTAATATACTAATTCCAGTCCTGAGCCACTTTGGGAAGAAAATCCTTATGCTCAGCCCAGAAATCAAATTTTTTAAAGGGTTTTTTAAAGGATTGGGCCTTACCAGAGACACTGACAACAGCTGGAGAGTGGTCGGAGATACTAGAAGGGAGAAACATAGCATTAGAGACAGGGAATTGGTCAATCCAAGACTCATTGACCAAAACTCTATCAATCTTAGTGGCAATGTAATCCCCCCTAGTCCTCTTATTCGCCCAAGTGAATTGACAACCACCATATGATAGATCAACAAGCTCAGCATTGAGAATGTAAGAATTAAAAACCTCTTTCTCACTGTTCCACAGGAGAGATCCCCCAAACTTTTCATAACTGTATCTGATGGCATTGAAATCCCCAAGAAAGGTTAGGGGGGCATCAGAATAAAGGTTGGAAAGACTGAGCATTTGGTCAAGAAACTTTTTCCGCAAAATACTACAATTCTCGGCATAGACAAAACAGGTTTTGAAAATCTTGGCTTGAGATAGATCATTTATTTCACAGAGCATATGCTGGTCAGACAAGTTGACCAAAGTGACATCACAAAAAGTTGGGTCCCAAAGCACACAAATTCTACCAGTTTTATTAGGTTGAGAGTTAGTCAAAAAAGACCAGTTGCTCATGCAAGATGAGAAAACATTGTTTTCATTTATAGCTTTTATTTTGGTCTCCAAAATACCCATGACCTTAATTTCTTCTTTAATCAAAAAGTTTCTCATTTCTTTATGCCTAGAGGGGTCATTGAACCCTCTAATATTCCAAGAAGCTATTTTAAAAGACATGGATAACAAAAAATAATAACTCTCAACCCAGGATAACAGAGGTTACCTTTTTTTCTTCTTCTGGCTTTTACCCTTGCCAGAAGATTTGCTGGTGGTAGAACTTGCATGATATGCATCAGGAGTGGCTCGTGGACTGTTCACATCAGTTTTCAGATTCTCCACTTTCTCCAGAAGTTTCGTTTCCCCTGGGAGGACTAGCTTGGTAATATCCAGCAGGTGCTGTTTGATCTTTGCTAGTCCATCCTCAGTGTTTGTAGCATCTGCAGGTGTAGTGGTATTTTTATCAAGGGTTGTAGCCTGCTTCTCCGAGCTTGTAACAATAACCATATCAGTGGGTGAACTATTTTCAGACAGATCATGACAGATATTCTGGGAAGGATTTGCTGCCTCTTCTTCAGAACTACTAGCCAACTTGCCTTCCATATCTTCCTCAATTGGATCTTGATTACCCACTTTCCTTTTACCCTTGGCCAGAACAGTGCTCCACCCTGGATCTGGGTTGTTCTCTGTTTCTTTATGGAGGTTCACTAGTTTAGCCACTTGGGTCGTAACACACTTAGTAGTGTCATGCCCAAAAACCAAACAGTGTTCACATTTTGTAGGGAGACCCTGATACTCCACCTGAATTATCACTTGCTCTTCTCCACATTTAACTGGAAATGATGGAGGTTGTTTGGCACTTGCATCCACTTCCACACAGATACGGGCAAAGGCTACTCTAGTTCCTTTCACTGTAAGATGATCAGTGAAGAGAGGGGTTCCAACTGCACTAGCTATTCTACTCAGCCCATCACTATCCCAGTATTCCAACGGAATATTGAAGAATTTAACCCACACAGGGACTTTCTGTATTTTATCCTTTGTCAGTCTCATCATCCTAGTCCATTTTTTGAGAATAAGGTGGAATCCTCCTATATACCATGGTCCCCCCTCAAGGACCTCACTGCAACAGTTGGGGCTTTCAAATATGAAGAAAATGAAGCCCTCTCCATTCGCCAAAACCTCCTTAAGGCCTTTGTTCTTCCACAGACTAAAAGCTGTATTCCTCATATAGTTGAAAGCAACCCCCTTGTCGATAAAATACCCTACTAAGCAAGAGTCCCATTTTTCCAACGGATGTGGTCTAGGAGGGAGATTTACACTGATAAAATCATTATTAACTGAAGGAGGGATATACCTCAGCGGAAGACATGAACGATCCGGATTTGCAGCTACTTCAGCCTATGATTTCGATGTTCCAGAAGCCATCCCTTGCCCACTGCCTCCTCCTTGTCCTCTTCCGCCCCGGCCTCCTCTGTAGCTTGTGCCCCCACCTCTACTCTTAGGATCGCAGTGATCATCCTCATCTAGGGTTTTAGGTTCACTAGGACCTTCTGGGTTGAACGATGAATCTGGTTGGAGGGTCTGAGCTTTCCTACCATCGACCCTAGATCTCGCGATCTCCAAACTATCAGGAATGTTCCTAAAAGTTTCATCTTCCTTTTCCATCTCTATGGCCCATCTAGGGCTTGGGTTAGATACAACTGGTGATTTGGGCTCCGACTCTCTCGGTTCAGGGTTTTTCAGCGTTTGAAGGCGATCGGCAATCGTTTGAAGATCCATAGTTTGAGAAGGATCGGCTTGAAAGTTAGGGTTCGTGATTTGGTTGTTTCTGGCTGTGTCGCTCAGATCTTTCATGATTTGGGTATTTGGGATATTTCTGGTTTCAACACTACGAGCCCTATCCGGACTCCTCACTGCAGGCTCATTAAATGGTGGATTAATGGAGTTAAAATCGGACATCGAGAATTCAATGAGGGATTGAAACCCTAGAAAACGAAAGGTTTTCTAGAGAGATGTCAGAGCTTCTCTCTCTAACCCATTTTCCCTAAGGAATTCCCTTTCACAGATTTAGCAACGAGCTGGACCCCTTCTTGAGAATTAGAAAGGAAAGTTAGAGAAAATAAATGGAAATAGTTAGAAAATTAAAGGGAATTCAAATTTACCCTTTTGGACATGAGAATTGAACACGTTGTTGATGGAGAAAACATTAAATGAGTTTCTTAACTCAAAGTAATTTCGTTAAGTAAATTCTCTTTGTTGGAGGCTTACCAAGATTAGTTTGAGTTAAACTTGGCCACTTAAACTAATAAACTATTAGTTGACTAACAAAATTAGTTCCTAGAACAAAAGAGAGATGGATGGAGAAGGACAAAGAGAGTTAGAGAGAAACTTTCTTCTTGAGAGTTAGGAGAGAAGGTTAGAGAAAAGAAACGGAAATATGATGATAATTAACGCAAATTCAAATTAATGCTTTTGACAAGAGAATTGAACAGCTAGGCGATTTGGAAGACATTAAATGAGTTGCTGATGCTAAACTTATATTGTTAAGTTACAATTACTCAGTAACTTGTCTTTCTTAGAGGCTAAGCAAAATTAGTTTGAGCTGAACTTGGCCAGTTAATCTGATGAAACTATTAGTCGGCAAAAGCTAATTAGTTCCTACAACAAAAGAGAGAAGCACGGAGAAGGATGAAGAGAGTGAGAAAAAAGCTTCCTTCTTGAGTGGTAAAAGAGAAATTTAGAGAGAAAGAAATGTAAGGGGAACAGGATGAAAATTAAATCGAATTCAAATCGATCATTTTGGACTTGAGAATTGAACACTTGGCTGATTTAAGAAACATTAAATGAGTTTTTTAAGCAATCCTAATATCGTCAAGCTACAATTACTCAATAAATTCTCTTTCAAGGAGGCCAAGAAGTATTAGTTTGAGTTAAGTTTGGCCCCTTAAGCTAATGAAGTTATTAGCTGCCCAACCTAATTAGTTCGAGAACAAAAGAGAGAAGGGAGGAGAAGGACCGAGACTATTCAAGAGAAACATTCTTCTTGAGAGCTAGAAGAGAAAGTTAGATAAAAGAAAAAGAAATATGATTAAATTTAAAGCGAATTCAAATCATCCGTTTGGACTTGAGAATTGAACACTTAGGTGATTTACAAAACCTTAAATGAGGTGCCTAAGTTAAACCAATACTGTTAAGCTACAATTACACAGTAGATTCTCTTTGTTAGAGGCCAAGCAAGATTAGTTTGAGTTGAACATGGCAACTTAAGCCAATGAACCTATTCACCCAAAAAAATAAAAAAGCCAATGAAACTATTAGTTGCCTAAGGTAATTATTTCCTAGAACTAAGCAGAGAAGGTTGGAGAAGGATGAAGAGAATTAGAGAGAAACTTTCTTCTTGAGAATTAGAAGGGAAAGTTAGAGAAAATAAATGGAAATAGTTAGAAAATTAAAGGGAATTCAAATTTACCCTTTTGGACATGAGAATTGAACACGTTGTTGATGGAGAAAACATTAAATGAGTTTCTTAGCTCAAAGTAATTTCGTTAAGTAAATTCTCTTTGTTGGAGGCTTGCCAAGATTAGTTTGAGTTAAACTTGGCCACTAAAGCTAATGAAACTATTAGTTGCCTAACCAAATTAGTTCCTAGAACAAAAGAGAGATGGATGGAGAAGTACGGAGAGAGTTAGAGAGAAACTTTCCTCTTGAGAGTTAGAAGAGCACGTTAGAGAAAAGATAGGGAAATAGGATGATAATTAAAGCAAATTCAAATTAATGCTTTTTCACAGGAGAATTGAACACTTAGGCGATTTAGAAAACGTTAAATGAGTTGCCTATGCTAAACTTATATTGTTAAGTTACAATTACTCAGTAACTTCTTTTTCTTGGAGGCTAAGCAAGATTAGTTTGAGTTGAATTTGGCCTGTTAGTCTGATGAAACTATTAGTCGCCAAAGCTAATTAGTTCCTAGAACAAAAGAGGGAAGCACGGAGAAGGACGGAGAGAGTGAGAAAAAAACTTCCTTCTTGAGTGGTAAAAGAGAAATTTACAGAGAAATAAATGTAAGGGGAATAAGATGAAAATTGAATCGAATTCAAATTGATCCTTTTGGACTTGACAATTGAACACTTAGCTGATTTACAAAACCTTAAATGAGTTGCTTAAGTAATCCTAATATCGTCAGGCTACAATCACTTTGCAAATTCACTTTCATGGAGGTCAAGAAAAATTAGTTTGAGTTAAGTTTGGCCACTTAAGCTAATGAAGATAGTAGTTGCCTAACTTAATTAGTTCGAGAACAAACGAGTGAAGGGAGGAGAAGGACCGAGAGAGTTCAAGAGAAACATTCTTCTTGAGAGCTAGAGGAGAAAGTTAGATAAGAGAAAAGGAAATAGGATTAAAATTAAAGCGCGTTCAAATCATCCGTTTCGACTTGAGAATTGAACACTTAGGTGATTTACGAAACCTTAAATGAGGTGCTTAAATTAATTTACGAAACCTCAAATGGGGTGCTTAAGTCAAAACAATATCGTTAAGCTGCAACTGCTCAGTAGATTCTCTTTCTTGGAGGCTAAGCAAGATTAGTTGCCCAAGGTAATTATTTCCTAGAACAAAAGGGAGAAGCTTGGAGAAGGACGGATAGAGTTACGTAGAAACTTTCTTCTTGAGAATTAGAAGAGAAAGTAAGGGAAAATAAATGGAAATAGGAAGAAAATTAAAGAGAATTCAAATTTATCCTTTTGGACGTGAGAGTTGAACACGTTGCTGGTTAAGAAAACATTAAATGACATTATTAAGTTAAACTAATCTCGTTTAGTAAATTCTCTTTTTTGGAGGCTAACCAAGATTAGTTTGAGTTAAACTTGGCCACTTAACCTAATAAACTATTAGTTGACTAACCAAATTAGTTCCTAGAACAAAAGAGAGATGGATGGAGAAGGACGAAGAGAGTTAGAGAGAAACTTTCTGCAGCTTTGTGTGGTTGTTTGTTTTGTTTATTTAGCTTTGTGGTGTTATTTGTATATTTGCCCATATGTCCACCCCAAATTTCCATCTATTATCTCTGATGGTAGGAGTTACTTGGGGACAACAGGATATATAGGCAAAGTTGGGTTATTTTGTTTTCTGTTGTTCTTGTGTTTCTCCCCCATCTTTAGGGGTGCTTTAGTAGTTTATGTTGGTTATGTAATCTTTTATTTATTTGTTGCTGGGCGTACCTGGGGTATGCCCCTTGTAAACTTGTATATTTCATTGTCTTTATTTTATGACTTACTTACCGAAAAAAAAAAAAATGCTTTTTGACAGGAGAATTGAACAGCTAGGCGATTTGGAAAACAGTAAATGAGTTGCTGATGCTAAACTTATATTGTTAAGTTACAATTACACAGTAACTTGTCTTTCTTAGATGCTAAGCAAAATTTGTTTGAGCTGAACTTGGCCAGTTAATCTGATGAAACTATTAGTCGGCAAAAGCTAATTAGTTCCTACAACAAAAGAGAGAAGCACGGAAAAGGACGAAGAGAGTGAGAAGAAAACTTCCTTCTTGAGTGGTAAAAGAGAAATTTAGAGAGAAAGAAATGTAAGGGGAACAGGATGAAAATTAAATCGAATTCAAATCGATCATTTTGGACTTGAGAATTGAACACTTTGCTGATTTAAGAAACATTAAATGGGTTGTTTAAGTAATCCTAATATCGTCAAGCTACAATTACTCAATAAATTCTCTTTCAAGGAGGCCAAGAAATATTAGTTTGAGTTAAGTTTGGCCCCTTAAGCTAATGAAGCTATTAGCTGCCCAACCTAATTAGTTCGAGAACAAAAGAGAGAAGGGAGGAGAAGGACCGAGGCTATTCAAGAGAAACATTCTTCTTGAGAGCTAGAAGAGAAAGTTAGATAAAAGAAAAAGAAATAGGATTAAATTTAAAGCGAATTCAAATCATCCGTTTGGACTTGATAATTGAACACTTAGGTGATTTACAAAACCTTAAATGAGGTGCCTAAGTTAAACCAATACCGTTAAGCTACAATTAGTCAGTAGATTCTCTTTGTTGGAGGCCAAGCAAGATTAGTTTGAGTTGAACATGGCAACTTAAGCCAATGAACCTATTCACCCAAAAAAATAAAAAAGCCAATGAAACTATTAGTTGCCTAGGGTAATTGTTTCCTAGAACAAAGCAGAGAAGGTTGGAGAAGGATGAAGAGAGTTAGAGAGAAACTTTCTTCTTGAGAATTAGAAGAAGCCCTGTGACTGACCAAGAGATCAAGGATACTTTTTGGTCTCTTAAGACCAATAAGGCTCCCGGTCCTGACGGTTTCTCTGCGGGTTTTTTTAAGACATCCTGGGCTATTGTTGGGAGAGATGTTATCCAAGCCATTAGAACGTTCTTTGAGTCAGGCAAGCTTCTGTCTGAAGTTAATAGCACAATCATTGCTCTCATTCCCAAAGTCCCCAACCCTGCGAAAGTGGGTGACTTCAGGCCTATTTCTTGTTGCAACACCATCTATAAGTGCATTGCCAAGATCATAGCTAGCAGGATTAAATCTGTTCTCCCTGATCTTATTGACCCTGTCCAGTCAGCTTTTGTTCAGGGTAGGAGAATTTCTGACAATATCTTCCTATCTCAAGAACTTATGAGGGGGTATCATAGGCATTCCCCTACTCCGAAGTGTGCTATGAAGGTGGATATCATGAAAGCTTATGATAGTGTGAGATGGGATTTTATTCTTGATATTCTCAAGGCTATGGCCTTTCCTCCTGTCATGATTTCTTGGATCAAGGCCTGCATCACTAGCCCTTCCTTTTCAATCTGTATCAATGGTAGCCTTCGTGGCTATTTTAAAGGAGCTAGAGGTCTTAGACAAGGTGACCCTATGTCCCCTTACTTATTTGTTTTGGCCATGGAAATCCTGGCCAAAATCTTGGTGGAGAAAGCTAAACACCCTCTTTTTAAGTTTCATTGGAAGTGCGACAAGACTAAAATAATTAATCTTTGCTTCGCTGATGATCTTATGATCTTTAGTATGGGTGATGCCTCTACTGTTAAGCTCATTATGGAAGGCCTTAAGGAGTTTTCATCCTTGTCTGGCCTAATTCCTAATCCCAGCAAAAGTAACATCTACTTTTCTGGTTGTGATATGGAGTTGAGAGCTTCTATTCTTGAGATTGCTAAGTTTAATGAAGGGACTCTTCCTGTTAGGTACCTTGGTGTCCCCTTAATTACCACGAAGTTGAGGGCTGCTGATTGTGGTCCTCTCATTGATAGGATCACCAAAAGAGTGAAGAGTTGGACCAATAGAGCTTTATCTTACGCTAGTAGAAGCCAGCTCATTCAATCCATTCTCTTTTCTATGCAAGTGTACTGGTCCTCCCTTTTCATTCTTCCCAAGAAGGTCATTAGGGAGATTGATAGTATTCTTAAAGCCTTCCTTTGGTCTGGTACTGATCTTAAAACTCATAGTGCCAAAATTGCCTGGGATTCTGTGTGTGCTCCGAAAAATGAGGGAGGTTTGGGCTTTAAATCTTTAGATATTTGGAATAGAGCGGCCATAGCTAAACACATTTGGTTTTTGTTTTCTGGGGGTGAGGGATCGATGTGGTGTCAGTGGGTCAAATCCTATTTATTAAAGGGGAAGAGTTTCTGGATAGTTAAGGTTCCTAATGATCCCTCTTGGGTGTGGAGAAAATTATTGTCTCTTAGGAAGTGGGTTTCCCCACTGATTAAGCATAAGATTGGGTGTGGGGACACCACTTTCCTTTGGTTTGATAATTGGCATCCCATTGGTCCTCTTTGGAACAAATTCGGGGATAGAATTATTTATGACTCTGCCCTTAACAGTGATACAAAAGTCAGTAAAATCATTGATGGGTCTTCTTGGAAGTGGCCTTTTCCCAATTCTTGGGAAATTCAGGAGCTAATCTCCTCTACTCCTGTGTGTTTTCATCCTAATCCTTCCAGCACTAATCAAGCTATTTGGAATCTTACCACTGATGGTAAGTTTTCCATTCAATCAGCTTGGAATCATTGGAGAAAGAAATTCAATAAAGTGGTTTGGCATAAGCTTGTGTGGGGCCCTCACAGAATCCCTAAAGTCAGCTTCATTGTTTGGGTGGCTCTCCACATTAGACTTTACACTGGTGATAGACTCCGTATGTTTGGCCTGTCCACTAGCTCTCAATGCCCCTTTTGCCTCCACCTGGAGGAAAGCCACTCTCATCTATTCTTTGAATGCATCTTCTCTAGTAGAGTCTGGAGTGCCATTGAAGTTGTTTGTAACATTAAGTAGCCTGTCCTTGGCTGGCCTGATAGTGTTACTTTTGCTTCTAAGGAGACTAAAGGTAACTCTTTGAGGGTGAATATCATTAGTAATGCATTCTTGTGTTCTGTTTAGATGATCTGGATTGAGAGAAATAACAGAATTTTTAACAAAGAGCTAAAACCTGAAGAGGTGGTCATTAAATCTGTTATCCAAATGGTTAGAAATAGAATGCTGTCACTTAAGAATATTCCTAGATCCAATGGTGACAAATGGTTTCTTGATAAATGGAGTTTGCCGGAGACAATTTTGAAGCCCCATAGCATCAGAAATGGAAGGGCTGCTGAGTGATGTGAGTTCACTAAATGTGGGTCAAGAGATGGTGAGCTTATATGAGGGCTTTATGTATTTAAGCTTTTTTTCTTTTGCAGGTATATTCGGGTGTCCCAAGTGGATCTATCTATCCTTGAGGGTCGAGTGATGAAAGTTACTTTATATGTTCTCCAATTATCTGTGGGTCGAGTGATGTTAGCCATAAATTTTTTACTAATGACTATATATACTGTAAATTTTTATGTGCAGGTTAAGGAAGCTAATTTGGAGTGGTGTGAGCCCCTAAACTGTGGGCCGAGTGATGAGAGTTCCTACATTGAGTGTGCTGCTGCTATGTTTTGTCTTTGGTATCACTGGATATACTCACTTCTGATTTCTTCTACAGGGTCTATTACAATGTTTGAGCAATATGGTGGCTACCTGGATAGGGATACGTGCTACGCGTCTGAAGGATGTGGCTGTTATGATATTCCTATGCTAGGCAGATCGGGCTGCTGTGGGTCCACTATAATGTTTGAGTTCTATTGGGGCTATATGGAATGCTGTGGGTTCGATGACACTATGGGTGGTCGTGTTTTCTGGCACTTGATGATGGCTTTTTTTTTTTGGGTGAATAAGACATAAATAAAACAGCAAAATATACAAAGATACAAGGGGCATGCCCCAGGACCTACAGAGCTATACAAATAGGCAAAAACCACGAAGAACAAGACAAAAGGAACCATACACACAATGTTCAAAACCTATCTCGAAGAGAAATAGAAGACGAACATAAGCGAAGGAGCTAAAGGACAAAACAAACTGGGATAGCCAAACATCAACAAAAAAAGGCTGCCAAAATTCAAAACAGTCAACAAAGACAGCAAATCCTCAAAGCTATGATACTGTGAGATGGGACTTTATCATTGATATCCTCAAAGCTATGGCTTTCCCTCCTTGTATGATTACCTGGATAAAGGCTTGCATTACGAGTCCTTCTTTCTCGATTTGTATAAATGGGAGCCTTCAGGGGTATTTTAAAGGGGCGAGGGGTTTAAGACAAGGGGATCCTATGTCCCCGTATCTCTTTGTGTTGGCCATGGAAATTCTTGCCAGAATTCTTGCTGAGAAATCCAGGAGCCCTTTGTTCAAATTCCACTGGAGGTGTGAGAAAACTAAAATTGTCAACCTTTGCTTTGCTGATGATTTGATGATTTTCAGTAAAGGAGACCCTGGTACTGTTTCTCTTATTATGCAGGGATTGGATGAATTTAGGAATCTGTCTGGTCTTACCCCTAATTCTAGTAAGAGTAACATTTTTTTCTCGGGGTGTAGTAGTGAGCTTAAAGAGAATATTCTTCGGATAGCCAATTTTACTGAGGGCTCCCTCCCAGTGAAATACCTTGGTGTGCCTCTTATCACTACCAAGCTTAAAGCATCTGATTGTCATACTCTGGTTGAGAGAATTACTAAGAGGATTAAAAGTTGGACCAATAAACTGCTTTCTTATGCTGGTAGAGCTCAACTCATCCAGTCTATTCTATTTTCTATGCAAGTGTACTGGTCCTCTCTTTTTATCCTCCCTAAGAAAATCATTGGTGACATTGAGAGCCTCCTTAGATCTTTTCTTTGGTCTGGGGTTGAGTTGAAGAAACATAGTGCTAAGATTGCTTGGAGATATATCTGCAGGGGAAAAAATGAGGGTGGCCTTGGTTTCAAAGACTTAGCTACCTGGAACAAGGCTGCTATAGCCAAACATGTTTGGTACTTGTTTTCTGGGGGTGATTGTTCCATGTGGTGCCAATGGGTCAAGGCTTATTTGCTTAAAGGGAGGAGCTTTTGGGCTGTTAGAACTCCTAGTGATCCCTCATGGGTTTGGAGGAAAATCCTGTCTCTTAGGCATTTAATCTATCCTCACATCAAGTTTAAAATTGGTAATGGGGAAAATGTGTTCCTGTGGTATGACAATTGGCATCCGCTTGGTTCGTTGTGGCATAGGTTTGGTCCTAGAATTCTTTATGACACTAATCTTCCTGACAGCACCAAGGTTAGCTCTATAGTCTCTAATGGTTCTTGTAAGTGGCCTATCTCTAATTCTTGGGAGATAAAGGAGTGGATCTCTTCTACCCCTTTATCCTTCCTACCGTCCTTTGGCTCTTCTGATACTCCGTTTTGGAATTTGGCTGCTGATGGTGACTTCTCTATCCAGTCAGCTTGGGATTGTTGGAGGGACAAGGGCCCCAAAGTCACTTGGTCCAAACTTATCTAGGGCCCCCCTTCAATCCCTAGGGTTAGTTTTATTGTTTGGTTAGCCATCAATTAGAGACTTAATACTGGTGATAGACTCAAAACCTGTGGTCTTGTTACAAATCCTTGCTGCCCTTTCTGTCAAGATCCTGAGGAGACTCATTCTCATCTTTTTTTTAGATGCATATTTTGTTCTAGGATTTGGGGTGGTATCCTTGCCAAGAGTAAATCTAACTGGCCTTCTTTGCCTTGGTTGGAAACTGTTGATTTTGCTGTTAGATCCATCAGTGGCACCTCCTTGAAAATGGTGATTCTTAAGCTATCATTTCTGTGCACTGTCTACCACATCTGGATTGAGAGGAATAGTAGGATCTTCAATAAGGCCCAAAAGCCTGAAGAGGTTGTTACTAACTCTATTATCCAAATGGTTAGGGGTAGGCTTCTTTCTTTGGAAAATGTTAAAATTTCTGCAGGTGATAATTGGCTTTTGGAGGAATGGAGTCTTCCTCTCAATCTCTTGCAGCAGCACCATACTATTGCAGCTGGCCGAAGAATGAGTGATGTGAGGTTACATACATTGAGGGTTGAGTGATGGTGAGCAACTACTGTGGGGTTTACTAACTGGGTGCTCCCTTGCAGGTTATCCTGAATCCTAAATCTTCTCCTACATTGATGTGTCCGTATGGAGGGTTGAGTGCTGTGAGCTACCTATATATTTCCAGACATTGTGGGTTGAGTGATGAGAGACAATACACATACTTTATGCTAACTTTTATTATATCTTATATGTGGTTTGTGCAGGTTCTTGGAGCTTTTAAGTATAATGCCCTTCTGATCCTTTCGAGGTATCATGTGAGTTGTGGGCCTAGTGTTGTGAGATCATATATGGAGTGGAGAGACATACTGTGTTGTGGGTCGAGTGAGGAGAGCTCCTATATTGTGTGTCTGTTATTTCTTCTCCTTTATGATTTACGACAGGTTCACTTGTTGGTGAGGAGGTGTGGTGCTGCGTACAGTGCAGTTGCAGGGAATTGCTGCTGGATACATGGTGTTTGTACCATGGTGATGGCTGCTGCTGGATACATGCTGCACAGATTCGGGTGGCAGTATGAAGGGTGTGTCTGTACCATGGTGATGGCTGCTGCTAGCGCCTTGCTGTGCTACAGGAGGGAGAAAATCAGTTGTTCTTCATTGTTTTTTTTGCATAATTTTGCAGTGTGTTTAGCTTATTCCTACGGGCTGTGTAGGAGTATTTTTGTGCTTCTTTGTGTTCCTAATAGCTGTCCTAGTAACCATGTTTCGGCTTGCACACATTTTAACAGTTTAGTTTTGTTTTTGTTTCTCATTCCTAGCCCTACGGGATGTGTAGGGAATGATGTTGTTTTTTTGTTTTGGCTCGTGCCTTTTGTGGATACAGTGTCCAGGTTCTCTTGTTTGGTGCTACAGTAGCAGGAGGTTCTCTTCAAGACCATAGCCTCCTGGATCTATGCTTCAGTTTGTTCTCTTCGCCTAGGTTGTTATAATTGTTTATATTTCTTGTTCACTCTTCCTATTGCTAGATTATAGGAATGGTGAACAGGTTGTCGGCTTTTGTTCTGTCCTCTGTATAGCTGTGTTAGGTCCTGGGGTATGCCCCTTGTAGCTGTGTAAATTTTCTTGTTTTATTTTATCTCTTATTCACCCAAAAAAAAAAAAAACCACACGGACACATATTCGGATCCTCTTGCAAGATGGCAGATATGTAATTATAGTGTTTACTTGCTATTCCTCATGCGTTAGCGATCGATTACTCGGACACTTTTTCGGACCGTCTTGTATCATGGCAGATATGTCATTATGGTGTTTACTTGCCATTTCTCATGCATTAGGGTTTAAACACACGGACACATATCCGGATCCTCTTGCATTATCGCAGATATGTAATTACGGTGTTTGATAGCCATTTCTCATACATTAGGGTTCGAACACTCGGACACTTATTCAGACCCTCTTGCATTATGGCAGATATGTAATTATGGCGTTTACTTGCCATTTCTCGTGTATTATAGTTTAAACAGTCAGACACTTATTCGGACCCTCTTGCACGATGGCAGATATGTAATTATTGTGTTTAGTATTCAGATCCTCTTGCATGATGATAGATATGTAATTGTGGTGTTTACATGCTATTTCTCAAGCATTAGCGATCGAACACTCGGACACTTATTCGGACCATCCTGTATCGTGGCAGATATGTAATTATGGTGTTTACTTGCCATTTCTCATGCATTAGGGTTTAAACACTTGGACGCTTATTCGGATCCTCTTGCACGATGGCAGATATGTAATTATGGTGTTTAGTTGTCATTTCTCATGCATTAGGGTTTAAACACGCGGACACGTATTCGGATCCTCTTGCCTGATGGCAGATATGTAATTATGGTGTTTGCTAGCCATTTCTCACACATTAGGGTTCGAACACTCGGTCACTTATTCGGACCCTCTTGCATCATGGTAGATATGTATATGTGGTGTTTAGTTGCCATTTCTCGTGCATTAGGGTTTAAACACACGGACACGTATTCAGATCCTTTTGCATGATGGCAGATATGTAATTATAGTGTTTACTAGCCATTTCTCATATATTAGGGTTCGAACACTCGGGCACTTAATTAGACCGTCTTGCATGATGGCTGATATGCAATTATGGTGTTCACTTGCCATATCTAATGCATTAGGGTTTAAACACTTGGACACTTATTTGGACCCTCTTGCATGAGGGTACATATGTAAGTATGGTGTTTACTTGCCATTTGTCATGCATTAGCGTTCGAACACTAGTACACTTATTCGGACCCTCTTGCACGATGGCCATGATGGCTGATATGTAATTTTGGTGTTTACTAGCCATTTCTCATACATTAGGGTTCGAACACTCGGACACTTAATCAGACCGCCTTGCATGATGGCAGATATGTAATTATGGTGTTTGCTTGCCATTTCTAATGCATTAGGGTTTAAACACTTAGCACTTATTCGGACCCTCTTGCGTGATGGTAGATATGTAATTATGGTGTTTACTTGCCATTTCCCATGCATTATCGTTCGAACACTAGTACACTAATTCGGACCCTCTTGCACGATGGCAGATATGTAATTATGATGTTTACTTGCCATTTGTCACGCATTAGGGTTTATACACACGGACACGTATTCGGATCCTCTTGCATGATGGCTGATATGTAATTTTGGTGTTTACTAGCCATTTCTCATACATTAGGGTTCGAACACTTGGACACTTAATTAGACCGTCTTGCAAGATGGCAGATATGTAATTATGGTGTTTGCTTGCCATTTCTAATGCATTAGGGTTTAAACACTTAGCACTTATTCGGACCCTCTTGCGTGATGGTAGATATGTAATTATGGTGTTTACTTGCCATTTCCCATGCATTATCGTTCGAACAGTAGTACAATAATTCGGACCCTCTTGCACGATAGCAGATATGCAATTATGATGTTTGCTTGCCATTTCTCATGCATTATTGTTTAAACACACGGACACGTATTTGCATCGTCTTGCATGATGGCAGATATGTAATTACGATGTTTGCTGGCTATTTCTCATACATTACGGTTCGAACACTCGGACACGTATTCAGACCCTCTTGCGTTATGGCAGATATGTAATTATGGGGTTTACTTGCCATTTCTCATGTATTAGAGTTTAAACACTCGGACGCTTATTCGGACCGTCTTGTATCATGGCAGATATGTAATTGTGGTGTTTAGTTGCCATTTCTCATGCATTAGGGTTTAAACACACGGACACGTATTTAGATCCTCTTGCATGATGGCAGATACGTAATTATGGTGTTTACTACTCATTTCTCATACATTAGGGTTCGAACACTCGGACACTTAATCAGACCGCCTTGCATGATGGCAGATATGTAATTATGGTGTTTGCTTGCCATTTCTAATGCATTAGGGTTTAATCGGATCCTCTTGCACGATGGCAGATATGTAATTATGGTGTTTACTAGCCATTTGTCATACATTAGGGTTCGAACACACGGACACTTAATAAGACCCTCTTGCATAATTGCAGATATGTAATTATGATGTTTACTTGCCATTTCTAATGCATTAGGGTTTAAACACTTAGCACTTATTCGGACCCTCTTGCGTGATGGTAGATATGTAATTATGGTGTTTACTTGCCATTTCCCATGCATTAGCGTTCGAACACTAGTACACTAATTCGGACCCTCTTGCACGATGCCAGATATGTAATTATGATGTTTACTTGCCATTTCGCATGCATTAAGGTTCAAACACACGGACACGTATTCGATCTCTTTCATGATGGCTGATATGTAATTACGGTGTTTGCTAGCCATTTCTCATACATTAGGGTTCTAACACACGGACACTTATTCAGACCCTCTTGCGTTATGGCAGATATGCAATTATGGTGTTTACTAGCCATTTCTCATTCATTAGGGTTCGAACACTCGAGCACTTAATTCGACCGTCTTGCATGATGGTAGATATGCAATTATGGTGTTCACTTGCCATTTCTCAAGGATTAGAGTTTAAACACTCGGATTCTTATTCGGACCCTCTTGCACGATGGCAGATATGTAATTATGGTGTTTAGTTGCCATTTCTCATGCACTAGGGTTTAAACACAAGGACACGTATTCGGATCCTCTTGCATGATGGCAGTTATGTAATTATGGTGTTTACTGGCCATTTCTCATACATTAGGGTTCGAACACTCGGTCACCTATTCGGACCCTCTTGCATGATGGGTGATATGTAATTATGGTGTTTACTTGCCATTTCTCATGCATTAGGGTTTAAGCACACGGACACGTATTTAGATCCTCTTGCATGATGGCAGATACGTAATTATGGTGTTTACTAGCAATTTCTCATTCATTAGGGTTCGAACACTCGGTCACTTATTCAGATCCACTTGTATGATGGCAGATACGTAATTACCGTGTTTACTTGTCATTTCTCATGCATTTGGGTTTAAACACACGGACACGTATTCAGATCCCCTTGCATGATGGCAGATATGTAATTATGGTGTTTACTTGCCATTTCTAATGCATTAGCGATCGAACACTCGGACACTTATTCAGACCGTCTTGTATCATGGCAGATATGTAATTATGGTGTTTACTTGCCATTTCTCATGCATTAGCGATCGAACACTCAAACACTTACTCGGACCGTCTTGTATCATGGCAGATATCTAATTATGGAGTTTACTTGCCATTTCTCATGCATTAGGGTTTAAACACACGGACACTTAATCGGATTAACTTGCATGATGGCAGATATGTAATTATGTTGTTTACTAAGCACTCGGACACTTATTCGGACCCTCTTGCATTATGGCAGATGTGTAATTATGGTGTTTACTTGCCATTTCTCATGCATTAAGGTTTAAACAGTCGGACACTTATTCGAACGCTTTTGCATGATGGCAGATATGTAATTATGGTGCTTACTTGCCATTTCTCATGCATTAGCGTTCGAACACTCGGCCACTTATTCGGACCGTCTTGTATGATGGCAGATATGGAATTATGGTATTTACTTGCTACTTCGCATGCATTAGGGTTTAAACAAACAGTCACGTATTCGGATCCTCTTGCATGATGGCAGATACGTAATTATGGTGTTTACTAGGCATTTCTCATACATTAGGGTTCGAACACTCGGTCACTTATTCGGTCCCTCTTACATGATGGCAGATATGTAATTATGGTGTTTACTTGCCATTTCTCACGCATTAGGGTTTAAACACGCGGAGACGTATTCAGATCCTCTTGCATGATGGCAGATATGTAATTATGGAGTTTACTAGCCATTTCTCAAACATTAGGGTCCGAATACTCGGACACTTAATCAGACCGTCTTGCATGATGGCAGAGATGTAATTATGGTGTTTACTTGCCATTTCTAATGCATTAGGGTTTAAACATTTGGACAATTATTCGGATCCTCTTGCATGATGGCAGATATGTAATTATGGTGTTTACTAGCCATTTCTCATACATTGGGGTTCAAACACACGGTCACTTATTCGGATAACTGTTTAAACCCTAATGCATTAGGGTTTAAACACTTGGACACTTATTCGGATCCTCTTGCATGATGGCAGATATGTAATTATGGTGTTTACAAGCCATTTCTCATACATTGGGGTTCAAACACACGGTCACTTATTCGGACCCTCTTGCAGGAT